AACCGCCTAGTTTCTCGTCTCTGTTATAATAATTCTCCTGAAGAAATGCAAGTAGATGTATAGACTGATCGATATGTGCTCATCAATCTTGTGATCATGCATGCAAACATCGCTGATTAAAGTTGAGTGTGTAGTAGGACTGAGAGCTAGCTAGAGATCGGAAGCGAAGAGTGTAGCTTTATTATATTAGGAGGCAGCAGCCGCGGCCGTAGCTTTTCTGACAAGTCGATTTCGCCGATTCGACATGATATTTGTACATGCAAACATGCGTGTGTTTGTGTGTTTGTATCTCGAGAAGCTCACGGGGCCAGTCTCGTTTGGTTGGCCTGCGAGTACATGCATGCAATGGCTGGTTTGTGGGCGATAGGCAGCTGCAAACTGCCCTGCAACACAGCCACCGGCCTGCCGGCCGGCGCCCTTTAGATTAATTAGTTTAACTTTGGATTCTACTCCTACTCCATATGTACTATATGTCTGTATAAATCTATAACCCTCCATCTCAAAAAAAGAATCGATCAACTTTTATACACGAATCTAGAAATAAATATATGTTTAGATTCGTGCAAAAAAGAAAAAACCGGAGTATACGTATTGTATTTTGGGATGGAGGGAGCATGTATATGTACATGTGGTATCCTATATAAATTAGTACAAATGAGAGCAAGTTCAATAAAATTGCCAACTACAATATATAGCAGGCTATATATAGCACATAGAGTTAGGGGTGAAAACAGTACGGAAACTTTCCGGATCCTGGACCTATTTTCGAAAACGGAATCTGTCGGTCGGAATTTTTCGGAAACGGAAACGAATTCGGAAATATTTTCTCGGAAACGGAATCGGAAATGATAAGGGCAGTTTCCGTCAGAACTCGTAATCGGTCAGAAACTTTCCAGAAATTTTCTCGGAATTTCCAAAAATTTTCTCAGAATTACCAGAAATTTTGTGACTGAAATACCCTGGATTCTTTTTTTAAGCACTAAATAGTGAATACTATTGTGTTTGGCTATTATTTTTTTTAAAAAAATATTTGTTATGCAAATCTAAAATTACATAAGAATATTTTTTTGTCCTGCATTAGGATTTATCAACAACCTTACTCTTTTAAACATAGATAATTTATTCAATTGGATTTATCAGTTTGAGGGGTTTTTTATTCCGATAAATTTTCGTTACCGTATTCGCGCCAGTTCGTTTTCGCTCCGTTTTCGGTTTCGATAATATTCGATTCCATTTTCGTAACCAGGGTTTCCAATTCCGATTCCGAAAAAAAAAATGAAAACGAAAACGATAAAGATGGTTTCCGTCCATTTCCGTACCGTTTTCACCCCCTACATAGAGTGAAGGTCACGGCAGCAGAAATTCACACTTCTCAGGCAGGTGAGTAAAAAGTTGAACATGTGATGAAATTTAAGAATCAATTTGAATGATGGAACAAATCTAGCATGGATTGATGCGAAAAAGAATTTTCAGGTTATTCATTCCTTCAATTAATATATTTGAAATCCAAATGCTTATACGTATATGGCTCTATATTTAAGGTTGCTTAAATTTTAGAACAAGCATGTACTCCCTCCATCGCAAAATATAAGGGATTTTAGATGGATGTGGCACTTCATAGTACTACGAATCTAGACTTTCAGGTCTGTCTAGATTCGTAGTACTATGAAGTGCCACATCCATCCAAAATCCCTTATATCTGGGGACGGAGGGAGTACTAAGATCATATCTCAAAACTTTTATCTGATAACTAAATTCCTGGTTTGACAAATTTAATCTGGCTAAAATACATTAAAGATTAATTCAATACATAAAATTCTTAATTTCTTGCTTTAGTTTTCATGTGTTTCTATTTTGTATTAATTGTTCAATTAGTATATGCATGCGTGGGGTGCACATGAATAAACATTCAGTGTGATACCAATAGTAGGTGCATGACTGATCAAATCTATCCACAATTGTTTAAATCTTGGTGCTCATATCATTTATGTGTTTAATTTCAGTAGGATATTCGTTATGTTAACTGATTTATTCCTAACTCCGTTTATTGTACATTTGTTAATTAAGGACTGTATTTAGGGCATGTACAATGGTCTTTATTAGCGGTCTCTCTTTATTGTCATGCAAGCATTTTTGGTGATGTGAAAGAGAGAGGAAGAAGAAAATAGAAAGATGGTTGCTACGCATGACAACTGCATAGAGTCGACTCGTAGCATTTATTAGAAATTTTTTTGTTGCATTGAGTCTGATAAAGGAAAAGTGACTAGTAAAAAAGTATTTTGGTATATTAATGGTTAGAGACTGTATTGTCTTAACTATTATAACATGATAACCTTTAATTAACGTAGAGACCATACCTTTGTATTTTGTGGGATACGTGTGTACCGTGATATGTGTGTTATGTATGTCCTCCATGCATGTAATCAGGGAAAAAAAATAGGTGCAGGCCTAGTTGTCATGGTGCAGAGTGACGACACATATATGGCATGCGCACTTGCATGATAAGCCATGTCTATCCACAGTGTCTGGCCTAACATACAAATATGAGGGGCCAAATCCAAGTTGCATTCGAAATTTCCGAATGTAATTTGATTTGATTTCAAAGAGATAGGCAAACAACAATCTGTTGATAACCGGATAGTGCACAATTAATGACCAGAGGAGAAGCGATGCTGCGATTGCCAGGTTCAAATCGTATTGATTGGAAGACACAAATCGTGTGTGTCAAAGTATCCGTCGAATCGAGAGTTATTAATACCTATCAGAAGATTGAGAGCTAGTTCCTTTTTTTTTTTGAGGTACGAGAGCTAGTTCCTCATCAACAACCAGCTAGAACTCTAATTTGTAGAGATGGATACTAATTAAATTCATTATATCTACTGTCCAAATCCATGATAATGGAGAAGTACTATATACACTGGTTGAGTTAAATACAACTTATGCTGTCAGATGTCAACCATGGTACTATACCCAACCCCCCAGGAGTAGCACAGTACAATTAGAATTAATACACTGGTACACATACGCCAGCTATGTGAAGACTTTCCTGACTACCTGTAACAGTAGTGTGTGTATTGTGGTGTGTGGGGGATATTGTACGTCTTAAACTCTTAATTATAGTAGCATTTTTCATTGAAATGTATACAGGTGATCAGGTCGATAAGTATACTTGTTACTTATATTAATGGGCATATGATTTTTATTAAGCATGCATTTGGGGTTCTTTTGGAACATAGGATTTCCAATATGCGGAAAAAGAAAAAAAAACATAGGAACAGAGATTGTCAATGTTAAGCAATGTATACAAGATTTCAAAACATAGAAACACTAAAGGTAATGTCTTCGGATGGTTTTTTTTTTCGCGAACACGTCTTTGGATGGCATTTTTGGAGAAAATCACGTACACGAGAGAGAGAGAGAGAGAGAGAGGAGAAGAGATTGTGGATTGGACTTAATTAGCAATGGGGAAAAAAGGTGTAAGCTCGAGTTAAAATTCCTATGCAATAGTGGGTATAGAAAAGCAATTAATCCATACAAATTTTTACTACAATCATATTGTTCTGAAGGGTGTTACTAGTATAATATAGGAAAAAATCCTATAAATTTCCTCCATCCAAAGAAGCCATAATCATCAGCATCATTGTTTGCCTTTTGACTTAATTATCACCTGCAACTAATAATTAAATTTTGAAACTAAATTTTAGAGTTGATTTTGATGGGTTTTTATTGTATTTTATTTTCAACATTAGCTTTTATATCACTAAGAATGCATAGATAAAAGGTTTATTTTTTTTCAGCTATAGGCCAAACGATTAAACTGTATATGTAGTGTTTTTTTTTTTGAAAATTGTATACGTAGTAAAGGGAAATTGATTGACAAACCGGGGCTTATACATCCGATGGATTTCGCTGTTGGGCTTTTTATTATACTGGTCATTTTAGAAATGATAGTGCGGGCCAAATCAGAAATAAGGCCTGGTTTAGTTTCCCAAATTTTTTTCTCAAAAACATCACATCGAATCTTTGGACACATGTATGGAGCATTAAATATAGATTAAAAAACTAATTGCGCAGTTAGGGAGGAAATCGAGAGACGAATCATTTGAGCCTAATTAGTCCATGATTATCCATAAGTGCTACAGTAACCCACATGTACTAATAACGGATTAATTAGGCTCAAAAGATTCGTCTCGCGGTTTCTATACGAGTTATGAAATTAGTTTTTTTTATTCGTGTCCGAAAATCACTTCCGATATCCGGTCAAACATCTGATGTGACACCCTAAAAGTTTTTTTTCGTGAATTAAACAGGCCCTAAGCCCAGCAGCAACCAAGAAAAAAGTTTGCTGTTCCATCAAGAACATTGGTCAAAGCTAGTGGCACTGCATTCAAAATCCTGATCAGGATCTATAGCTAGGAGTAGCTTCCCCGAGAGTCAGCACTCACCTGCAGGCACTTGTTCATATCGATCACCTTTTAAACACTTGAATGAGCTATAATTATGCCATCGTTAGCCTGGGTTGACTTGCGGCGCCTATGTCAAATCAAGTTCAATGTGATGTGATGTGTGTTCTGATGAGTTCGTGTATTGACTGCTCGTATTTTATTTGTACTAGTACGGCACCTATAGGGAAGGCCAGAGAGTGAAGAGAGCACAAAACTGCAGAATAATTCAGTACCCACAGTACCATGTAGATAGATGTAGCTCAAATTAAACGGCTGCGTTTAGTTCCATCCAAAGTTTAGATTTTAGTTGAAATTAGAGATGATGTGATTGAAAAGTTGTGTGTGTATGACAGGTTGATGTAATGGAATTTTGCAAACTTTGGATCCAAAGTTTGGATCTAAACACAACCGTAGAGTAGTTTTAATGAGACTTTCACATTGGTTCAAAATATACTCTACCAGTACATATTTAACCCATTTAACTTTTGTAAGTACTCCAGTTTGTACTACTAGTAATATATATGTTCATAAAATCATAAGAAAAACACCTGGTCATCAGCCTTATACATTTTAAAGAATCATATGCGTTCAAAAACATCAATGCATCTCTCCACTACTACACAGTTGATTAAATTAATTCCATATCTGAACTAAAAACACCCCCAAAAACTCACACACCAAAAAATCAACATTACCATACATGAATCCAATAAGTGCAGACATGTACCTCACTTAGCAGTAGATTTTAAAGGTAAAACTGAACATCATGAACAACTACCCATCGATCTCGATCTCTCTTGCCCCCCAAATTAACACATCGCCTATCGATCACGAACACTTCTAATTTCTTGGCTCTTAGTAATTTACATGAACAATAACTTAACTGCAATCACATCAAACGCAGTAAATACTACGCGTCAGCTCAGGAGGCGGCGTTCACGTTCCTGTTGCTGTGGCCGCACCCGAAGCTGCAGTTGCAGTTGCCGTTGTCGGGCTGCACGTTCGCCGGCGGCGCGGCGAGCGGCGCCCCGAAGCAGGAGAAGCTGGCGCGGTGCGGCGGCGGCGGCGGGGCCACCAGCGCGTCGCCGGCGGAGACGGCGTGGCCGATGACGTAGTCGCCGACCGCCGCCGGCTGCTGGTGGCGCGGCGGGGCCGGGTACGTCGCCGGGTAGCTCATCGGGTGCAAGGCGGACGGCGGCGCCGTCGTCGTGTAGAGGTAGTGGTGGTACGGCGGCGGCTGCGGCGGCGACAGCCGTGGCTGCACCGGCCGGAGCGGGATGCACGGGTCGCCGCCGACACCGCCTCCCCGGAAGCCTCCTCCTCCCATCTGCATCGTCGGTGGAGGAGCAGCGGCGCCGCCTCCTCCCATGTTCACATCCCTGAAACTGTAGCAAGAAAGCTTTCATAAGAAACCCTAGTCGATGATGAGAAAGGAAGGATCGGGCGAGACGACACAACTTGCAAATTAATGGAGATTTAATTCACGCTTAGATCGATCGATGTGATATGCATACTTGAGCTGTGCGCCGACGGCGGCGAGGCTGTCGTTGCCGAAGACGAGCTGCCTGGCGCGGTTGAGGGTTTCGGTCTCCCTCTCTGAAAGATCAAATCCCAATATCCCACAAGTTAGAGGCAAAGGGAATGCGAGATTAGATGCATGGAAGATCAAAAAATTGAATCTTTTTCTTAAGGATATAAATGGTTACTGTTGGATTAGAATATATTAGATGCGTGGAAGATAAAAAAAACGAACTTCTTCATATATTTGTGATCGATCAAATTGGTTCTTTGATAAAAAAAATATCGATTATATAGCTAGGTAGGTTGTTGTGTGATATTGCCTTGGCGGTGGCGATTCATGTGGCCACCCAGCGCTTGAGATTTGCAGAACTTGAGGGAGCAGAACCTACACTCGTACACCTTGCCAGCTTCATCCTTCCCTCCATTACTCTTCTTCTTAGTAACCCCTGTAAACAATTAGCTAATCATTCAGTTATCCCATTCTGAAGCTATGTAACTGTACTTCCTTTATCTAAAATGCAACAATTAAGGTTTTCTTTTTTCCATGTAATGATCGAGACGGTTCAGGAGAAAATTTTAAGTAGATGACCACATTCAGACACACACACAAAACAAAAATCTATCTTTTTTACTCTACATTAAAGCTATATATGTACTAGCATTTGCTGGTTATGAATGTTGCAGTGATATCCTTACTGGATGCTTCGGCGCTGGATGCGGCGGTGGTCGTTGAGCTCTCCACCGTTTGCTTGCCGAACTCATCCGGCAGGTTGTTCAGGTCCAGGGGGCTCCCTTCTTGTCTCCTTGATGAGTTCATAGCGAAGAAGAAGAAGAAGAGGAAACCATTTAGTACGTATATATACAACTTGTTGAAGATACAGATTCACAGATGGATCAACAAGTTCCTGTTTGCACAATGATGAGCACACAGGAACTCAAGAGCGAGGTAGCCCAACAAGATGCCGATAGAACACAAGTAGTAGTGCACTGTGCCGACAACAAGAATGAATCTATGCATAGTAGTTTTATATAGTACTAGAATGACATAGTAGAAAACAAGCTGTTCATGGAGATCCATAGTAGGCTAGATAGTTGTGATAAGTAACAGGAGCTAGTAGTAAAAATGCAGGTATATATGATGTATGCATAGAAAAGATTACAGGTAATATCGGATTTACACACACAAACAGACACATCCAAGAGTGACTGTTTGGAAAAAAAAATTGCTGAAAAAACAAGACAAGATATGTGCACATATAAACAAGACACACAAAGACAGCAGTGTTTCAGAGGGAAGATGTACATAACATGGAGATGAACAATAGAAGAAGACACAAAAAAGTCATGAGGGGTAGTTGTGCTTGTAGGCTCCTTCTTACATGGTGGAGCAGAGAGCAGCAGGGAGAGAAACAGCTGAACACTATGATGCAAATGAGGCTTTTGGAAGGAGAGGCCGGAAGAAAAAGAAAAGAGGGGATCGAGATATATATCGGATGCTGTGTGTGTGGGGTTTGAGATCGACTTGAGACGCGTTGAGTAGAGCTCTCATCAGCTCAGTGATGTGCCTGACTGTGTAGAGAGAAAAGAGTACAAGTATTATTGATTTAGTACATGACACAAAAGCAAAAAGACACTGCAGTTTGGGAACAGCAAATGCATTGGGGAACGGCTGTCTTAAAAGTGTTGGTTTGGGGTGTAGATAGAGTGAGAGAAGCAGTAGTAGAGCTTGGTAGCTGGGGGAGAGAGAAGCCTGAAAGTTCTCTATCAGTTCACCTCTGCACAGCCGTCCCTTTCTCTCTCCTGTCACACATTCACATACACTGGTACACCTACGTACACTACTACCACTACTACCCCTCTCTCTCTCTCCATCTGATTAAGAGTGAGAGAGTAAGATGCTGCCTGTGCATATATGATTCTTGGAGTATGTGATGGCTGTAATCCAAGTGCGAGGAATGCAGTATTTGTTGCGTTGTTATTATTATCTATCCAAAGAGAGATCGATCGATCGAGATCGAGGAGGATCAGAGAAGAGGACGTATGGTATGGCGATGACTGTATGTCAATATGTGTAGGTGAGTGTCCACACTATTAGCTGTAGGGCAGCTGAGCTGAGCTGAAAGAAAGCCCCACAGCCACAGCACCACTACTCTCTTAACACTGCACTGTAGTATCACTTTGTAAGCAGCAATGCAGCAGCAGATATGCATGCTGCTGAGAGTGAGACCTCTCTTCTCTCCTGCATATATTGAATCATTAAATAGAGTAAGCTACGCCCTCTTTTTCTTTAGATCTTGTGCAAAGGGATCAAACACACAAACATCACACATGCATGCGCACACACATCTGTACCCATATCCATCATCTAGTGTAGGTTATAGGCCTATGTGTGTCCTTTGTTTGCATCTTTCTCCTTCAACCTGTGGTTGCATTGTGTAGGCCATATGCATGCATGCATTGCAGAGAGCTCTTGAGAAGAAGAGAGAGAGAGAGAGAGAGAGAGATACTAGAGGGTAAGGTAATAAAGACAAGGGCACCTCTTACAAAGCCCTGGTTCTGAATTTAGTTGAGAAAGAGTATGCACAAGCTAGGGGCCCCTATAGGCGCATGCATATGGCTTAGCCTTTGAGGTCTAGTAGGATGCATGCATGCTAGGAAGAGCTGTTGTCAAGTACTGGGAGTTTAGGGTAGAGGAGGCCAGGGAGGATACATGGGCAGTAAAAAGTGCCTTTGGAGGGATGTGTGTATGGAAAATGTGAGACACCGAGACCTTCACCAGTACAAGTGATAGGACCTGTGTTGGATAGTGCTAATGACATTGACATACATGGTTTTCATGTGAGATCTCTCTCCCTCTCCCTCTCTCTCTCTCCCACTCTTTCTCTCTCACATACACAGTCACACACACTACAATGGGTTGCAACATTCAAGCAGGTTTGTAGCACTGGCTTGGCCTGGCCATGTAAGCCCAGACAAATTAATGTAGGCATTGGTAGGGGATGAGATATGATCAAACAAGAAAACATGGACAAAGACAAGACTAGGGTTTACCTTTTCCTTTTGAAAATATAAACCTCTCCTCACTAGTTTACCAAAAAACTGGTGAAAACCGACAACTTAATTTCTGTAAATGTCGTACGAAAATAAGAAAGAACTAGTCGGTTTTGTGAAACCTGCTTTAACATTCATATAAACACCGGTTGATTTACTCCTAGCCAATCTTCGATACGTTCCTTCCATGCTTGGGAGACATATAATACCCTAAGAGTAAGGACAATAAGAAAATAAAAAATATATATAAGCATTTCTGCCTATGTATTTAAACACTGGTTAGATACATAGCCAGCAATGCTTATATTTTAGGATGAAGGGAAAATATCATTAATATCTAACCCACCTCCGCTCATTCTCTTACAAAATTTGTTAGAGCTCGTGCTATAGCTAACTATAGATTTTTTCTCGATCCCATGTTGTATTCGCTTCCTTTCAAGTAAAAGAACAAAAATGGTTCCTCACTAAATTAAGGCCCCTAGCAAAAGTTCACATGATCTTTAATTTGTAGAACTTTCAGAGTAATTAGGAGTAGTTAAATTTCAGCATGAATATATAATCGGGCAAAATCTCACATCCACAACATACTCCAATTTGTGTTGAGTTGAAGAGAATGGAGGCCCTATACTTACTCGAGGGAGCAAATTAAAGATGAAAAACCTTTTCAGGCATATGCTTAAATTTGTCAAAGATTATTTCATGTTTAATGTGAAATGGTATATATGTGTATGGACAACTGATCATTTTCCATTTGGATCTTCCATCAGTTGGATGCTAGCTGATGTACCTGGCCTACTATATGTCTTTTTTTTAGATAATGGAATATAACATACTGGCTTTTGCTCAAAGAGCTATAGCCAATTATTATAATCTCACACTTAAAATAAATGAAGTTCAAAGAAACTTAAAAGATGAAACCAACCATCAAGAAGAAACAACCTAAAAACTGCCAACCCAAGATAAAGAGTACACAATTACTATATGTCTTTTAAAAGGATAATTTTGACATTCTTAAGAAGGTACCAGAAGGTATCATTTTTTTTTAAAAAAAAATAGTACCTCCAAATACTATATATGTATCTCGAGGTACTAAAATTTTTAGTGCAAAATTTACCTCGAGATATTTTCTCAAGAAACGTAAAATTTCTCCTTTTAAAAACATGTGTATATGTTTTCTAAAATATGTGTGACACTGTACTAAGATAACTAACAGAGGCAGTATATATTCAAGGATGTTGGGTCCTAAAAGCATGCATATATCAGGACTCAGGTTGAAGTGTGTGTCCCTAGCTAGACGATATGCATGCATGGGTCACATATTCATGTTATGCTTGCTAAAAGCCACCCATCGAATCTTGGTTAACAATACACATATATATGGGTGAATAGCTAATTTAGTCCCTCAAGTCTCATCGAAGGCTCAATTTGATCCTTCAGGTTTCGTTTTGTCCACATAGGTCCTCTAAATATTTGTTTTGGCTTAAACTCATCCTTTTACCCACTTAATATGTTATATGGCTATTTCTAGTTAACATTTCTATTAGAAAATGTCCCTTTTGCCCTTAATTTGTAACAACTATATAATAGAAAAGAGAAAACCAAGATGAATAAACAATGTTGCATATGTAATTCCCATTCTTTCAACATGTGCACATGAAACTTAACCTAATGGCTATCGTATACACTTGCAAGTACATAATTTATTTTCGTTGTACATAACTTACTATGCATTATCTATAAAAAAAATTCATTGCATGCAATTTTTTCTCTTATATAAGTGTATGATGGGGTATAAGTGTCATTTATCGAGAGAGTTGTTGGTTATGTTTAGCCATGTGGCTTTTAAGTGGGTTCAAGGATAAGTTTGAACTAAAATTAAAACTTGAAGTACTAATATGGACAAATTGACACATTAAGGACTAAACTAAGCCTCAGATGAAACTTGGAGGACCACTTTGGCTATTCACCCCATATATATCATTCAAACGATACATAAATCGACTTGTTGTAATTGTGCACAACTAACTAACATTTGACCAAATTAATTAAGGGGATGTAACTCAAGTTAGAGCCAGGAGATGGATGCATATAGAGGAGCAGGCATGGATGGCAGGGCAAGAGGACAGAAAGAAAGGACAGGGAGAGGAGGAGTAGTGAAAGATTTGCACAGTGGGCAGCAGGGCAGGCAGGCAGGCCAGGTTTGCAGCTCTCAGGGGTCGTCGTCGTCTCTCTCATCTCATGTGAGGGAGGCCAGAGGTAGAAGACAACAAGCAGGAGCCTCCTGATCGATAGAGATACCTCTAGTGTTGCATTGCATTGGCGCCCCCCTGGCCCTGCATACTCCTGCCATTTCATGCAGCATTAGCTACACAGATATATACACTGCTACTGCCACTGCATGCACCTCTCTCGCTGGCTGCCTCTTGCTGCAGCTAGCTGCATGCCATTGCCATGCCCTTTTAATTTCTTTCTTTCTCTCTTTCTCATCGATCCATCGATCACCTGTATGAATGCCGTGCATAATGCATCGATCTGATGATGTGTGGGGGTGTCACTGGCATCTGCATCTGCATTGCCAAAGTTTTTATATATATATTCAGAGAACTGATAGATCGATCTCCTGGGCCCCGTATACGCGCGTCTCCCTCACCATGATCCAAGTATCCAACCCTCTCGATCTATCGCTTTATGCATCGTGTGTGTATATGTATGTATGATCGATCTTGATCGGACCACAAACTAAACTATAGCATGCATAGCAGCTGATAGCTGCAGTCATCTGCAGCAGGGCAACGATGCAAAAAGCTCATGTGCATCTCGATCATATGGTCAATCAGTACGCATGCATATGCAATTATGGTGTGTATGAATGCATGCATAACCGAGTGAAAAAAACAAGTCAATGCTCACCGTTAAGTTGATCATATCAACTGCATTCAAAAACTTGAAAAACGTGTGTCTCTCACATGTAACGAACGCGTATAGACGTTATAGTCGAATGATACATATATAAACGATGTTCTTGATTCGTGCATGGATATATACAAGAACTTAACATCGTGTGTCTTCTTTATATTGCATTCATTTATGTTAATTTGTAATTCTTATGCTATTATGTGAAACCCGATGTTAGTATTGATATATAATCTAAACTTATGGTGATATTTTTTTCGTTCTTCTGTTGAAATTTGTGCCCATAATAATATACCTGCTATCTATGATTCTACCAGCTTGCTATTTGCTATTTATTACCTTGGTTAATGGGTTAATACAATGAGACCAATTTTCCTCACTTAGGGCAAAATCTTCATCAGCAACCTTATAAACTAATATTCCTCAGTGCTAAGTGCTATAAGGTTGTCTGTGATTCTTTGTTATGTGTTGTGATTCTTTATACTACGTGTGTGTGTATATATGCACTTGTTTTCCTGGTGATGCTAACCGAATAGGACTTGGTATAATTCAAACCAAGTCCTATTCGGCCCAAAAGGATATGGCCAGCGGTTCTATTTTTTTCCTTGGAAACAGACGGGAGTTTGTTTCTTTTTTTAAAATCGAAAAGATTCGTTTTTTTCGCCCTTTTTTTTACCGCGTCGACGGAATCGGATTTAATTTTTTTTACCGTGTCACATTTTTTTTACCATGTCGCATATAATCGGATTCGATTTTTTCCGCTCTTTTTTCATGAACGGACGACGGAAACACTTCTAATTTCTTAGTAGAGATTATCCGGCTAGCTGCCTAAATCCGAAAAAAAAACAAAACTAGTTAAAGTAGCTATAGTTGGATCATCAAAATCCGAACTCGATCGTGTCAATATTGGTTAATCGACACATCAATAAACAAGTTTTATTATGCAAGTATACCTCATAAATGTAGTCGTCGGCGGCAAAGAACTAAAAAAAGAAACACTAAAAGATCTTAGGGATGGAAGACCTACATGAGTAAAACG